GTGGATACTTGGAAAAATAGAGTCAATGCATCGTAGATTCTTTCTGTTCTTCACACACTCCATATTCTCCCTTATGAAACAATTTGATCAACTTCACAATAAACACTAAAACCTAAAGAAATAGCAACAGATCATTCCTGGATATATAATACCACAAAAGTTCTCAAGTTCATCAATAGTCTGAACTCTGAAGAAATAAAAAATCATACAACTTTGAAGGACTATCAAAACCCTAAACCTGTTCAATTGCCTCCTCAGTGAACGGGAACCAATATCGCATTCCGACGTATACATTGGCACACATGTTCTTAGCCTCCAACGCCATTCTAAGAGCATTTGCCTGCAACAAAATTTTCAAGTTATGAATACACTAGTACAATGCAAACAACAAAAGCTTCATCATAAAGCACTAATCAATAGATGGTTCACTTTGGAACAAACATCCATACAAAACACAAAAGCTTCAGGCTAAAAGCATCCACCTGAAACGAATCCTTCAAACTATAAATCCAAATGCAAACAACAACAAGCTTTCATGACACGAGAGCAGCATTCACTTTGTATCAAATATCCATATGAAAGAGAAGGCAATTGTTTCAATTCTATACAACATTAGCCTAGAAGAAGAAAGTAACATGCCAATTTCTGCAAAGAAGGGAACTTATTTTACCTGTTCATCAGTTATTTTACGCAGAGGCGACCCACCACCAATGGCAGCATACCCTTCTTTGCTCTTGGGAGCTCGGAGAACAGATATCAACTTCGCCAGTGGTCCTTGTAGAAACCTTAATAGCCTAGGCAGCCGTATAATGTCCTACATAACAAACATTATCAACATCAGCACACCATTGAGACTTAACTTAAAACCCATATATATTTATACAAATAACATATAAAAGTAGCAAGCAGACCAACATACAGGATCAGCAAACAAATTATACAAAAATGGTTGAACATCGTTAAGAGTCTCTGGACCCCCGAGATTCAAAAGTAGGACCCCGAGCTTCTCCTCCGCAGCGTGTGAGAAATGAGATCCCGCCACATTTTCAGGGAAAGTGCAAACCCCCACCGCACAATTCGTTTGTAAGTTCAGATTTCTCTTCCGAATTGGTCCATTGCTGCGATTGCGTCTTTTGAGAACGCTACGATTTTGAGTATTCGAATCGGAACTAGAGATGATAAGCGGTTTCGATGAAGGTTTATCAACATCATTAAGTTCCACAGAGAAATTGCGTGATGCAGAGGCTATATATCTGCCCCGAGGAATCGACCTGGAAACAAGAAAAATAAAGAAATTAACCAAGGCGTAATTTGGGAAACATTTAGGCAAGTTATTAGGATCTAAAACTCATTCACAAAAACCAAGTATAAACTTTTGACTAAAACCCAGAAAATAAAAAGAACAATAGGCTGACCTTGAGAATGTATCATTATAATAGCAGAGACCGGAACCAGATAAAGACGCAGCATCCATGGTTTTTGATCTGAAGAGCTCTCTCCTTTTTTTTTAAATTGAAAGTGCAATAGAAAATTGGGTGTTAGGCGGATTTGAGAGAGATTCTTGTATGGGTTAGTTGAGAAGGAAATGGCGAAATTTTGTTTATGACAACCGCAACGTCAAATAATAACTGCAGTCCCAAAGACCAAACGTATTGTTAAAGCAAACCTACACACACCAGAGTTTTCTTTTGAGGAGTTCAAAGGGAGACCTTAAATAGGATGGACGCCTAAACCTTCATGGAAGCTTCCAAGAAGGTCGGAGTAAAGGAGGTGTTTTTTTAAGGCTAAACTACTTGAATGATCACCTAACTATGGATTGGAATTAAAATGAACATCATTTTTAAATTTACATTTTAAATGGGTTCAATATTGCTACAATTTGTTAAAATTTAATAGGTGATGTGACAGTCAACAAAAAATCATATAATCAAACATTTGATCTTCAGTATTTGTATATTCAATTAACTTAGTCATAATTTTAATTTAATTAAAAAAATTAACTTGTATGAGCATGCTTGAACCATTGAGCCAAACCCAATGTTTGTTATTAGTGTCTTAAAACTTTTATTTATATTGTTTTAAATTTTACATAAACAATGAAATTATAATATTCCAATATATAAATTATAGGATAAACTACTTGAATGACCACCCTTGGTACTAGTATCAAATCTGGCAGACGAAATTATAAACAATTAAATTGTAATATTCTAATAAATGAATAAATTATAGGGTAAAGTATAGTAATGGTCACTGAATTTTTCTAAAGCTTTCATTTAGGTCTCCCAACTTTTAAAACTTACAATACAGTCCCCCCAACATTTAATTCGTTTGCAATATGGACCCAACAGTTACGTCAGGGACCATATTGCAAATGAACTAAATGTTGGGGACCAAATTGTAAATAGACTAAATATTAGGGGATTGTATTGCAAGTTTTAAAAGTTGGGGACCTAAATGAAAGCTTTAAAAAAGTTCAATGACCATTACTATACTTTATCCTAAAATTTATATTACAATAATTCTCTAACAATCTTCTTTAAAGAGACATCATTATTTTCCTTTAAATGTTTGATGTAGTGACAAAATCACCATAAATAGAAGTAAATATATTTCAAGACTTTAACGAAGTAATTGGCTCATAAAACTTAAGATAATTTACAATAATTTTATACTTTAAATAAAAATTATCTTAATATTTGATAGGGATAAATATCAAAATTATTCGGTTAAATATATAAAATGATACATGATTTGAAGTTTATACAATTATATACATAAAATCTCAATTTAATTTCATAAATTATTAATATTATTATATTGATTAAAAGTATTAATATAGTTATCAATGTAATATTATTTTATGTTCATACATTGTATGCAAAAATAATTTTATTTATCTAATATAGAAAATATATATAACTACTTTTTAAAATATATACAATTGAATAGAAATCAAAACTTTATGTGTACAAATAAAATTAATATTGGAGTTTATTATATATAATTGTATATTATTATAATTTATGTACTATATTACATATTTGAACTAAATTCATATACACTTTTAATATTTATCTCATCAATTAATATCAGTACTCTCCGATTTCTTTTTTTTTTACTGAACAATTTATACTTAAGAAAAGGAGGAAGTAAAATTTTACTCCTGGTAAAAAATGAACCAATAACCTAAGAAATAAGATGTCACTGAAAGCTTTTAAATACTTATCCTATACTTATAGCATTTTTATTACTATTATAAAATTCCCTAGTCAAATTAAATCATTTAAGAACTTTTGTATTTATAAAATTCATCAAAATTGAGGAACTAATACGTAAATGCTTTAAAATATTGAAATTGTGTTAGAAATAACATTTTAACCGCTTTGGATGAATCTCGGATGACCCAAATCACTCCTAAACCTTATGAAATTTAGTATAAGATATGTGGATATGCCATGACTATAAAGTGCACATAGAATCATACTCAACACATCACACTTACACCCATCTTTCCAGTTGTACATCAATTAATTACACACCAAATATGCAATAAAATTTTCCATCAAGCAAGTATTATACAATATTTATCACTACTAAAATTAGAATATAAACATAACAACATACTCATACATGGTGAATCATACAAAATCCATCACCATACATAGCAAATATATATATTCAAAACATATCTTTAACATACAAAACACTACACCTCTTACATTTACCTATTGTATGCTTACCAACTATAATAACACACCACATATAGGTGACATACTTATCAATTTATATAACTTACAACATGAATATAAAACTAACATATCAAACATAATATAACATGTCAAAAACATATCAATACATAACCACCTAATAAAAATAAGGGTAAATTATAGTAATGGTCACTGAACTTTTCTAAAGCTTTCAGTTAGATCTCTCAACTTTTAAAAATTGCAATACAATCCCCCAACAATTAGTCTATTTTCAATATGGTCCCTCAACATTTAGTCTTTTTGCAATATGGTCCCTGACGTAACTGTTGGGGACCATATTGCAAACAGACTAAATGTTGGGGGACTGTATTGCAAGTTTTAAAAGTTGGGAGACCTAAATGAAAGCTTTAAAAAAGTTCAGTGACCATTACTATACTTTACCCTAAATTATAAACAATATTAGAGTTATGAAATTCTAAAAAAATAAAGAAATTTAAAAATCAGTAGTGGCATAAGAAATAGGTGAAAACCCAATTAAAAATGTTTATTTTGATATAAAAAACTCAATATTTAAAAGGAAGTAAACATTAAATTTCAATTATAAAATAACCACTGAATTTATTTGAATTTCAATAATAAATAACAATGAAGTAGTAATTAAACCTAATGGGGATATTACTAACTAAGGACACAAAAGCATAAATTTGCAATTTTCAGAGCTTATATTTTAGGGCAATGTACACAAACGATCATCCTACTACAAGGTGATACTTTGTTGAGTCCTTTGACTATTAAAAGTTATAAAATTGTAACTCGACTATTTGTATGTTCCGAACACGTTCTTTTCTGTTAAAAAATTGATAGATGTTTAAGTTAGGCGTTAACTTGCTTATTAGGTTATGATAGTCTTTTGAGATTATGAGATCATATTTTATCATATATAGGTTGATAGATTAACATCCAACTCATATTTTTTTAACAGAAAATGATGAGTTTGAAATATATGAATAAGTGACCATTTTGTAACTTTAAATAGTCAGGGGACTATTAAAAGCAATGCCCCATAGTTAGGAGATCATTTTATGACTTTTAATAATTGGGAGATTCAACAAATCAACACCCTATAGTCGAGGGACCATTTGTGTAGTTTACCCTGTATTTTATTTGTAGTGATGGTTACCGAAAAATAAGATTAGCAGTCGTTTCCAAACATCATAGATTCTTTGTTCTGTAGAAGATTGTAAGACATATCTCTTCCATCTTACAACTATTGAGGGAGAAGGGGGGGGGGGAAGGCCGAAAATGACAAAATTGAGTATTTCCAGTCTTTTCTTGATACTGGTTTTGTCCTACTTGAGTGATGGAGCAAATGGAAAAGTTAATTTGAAAGAAGATGATGGGAAATTAAAGCAGCTTAACAAGCCTGCAGTGAAGACCATACAGGTATTTTCTTTACTAAATATTATACACGATACAATTACATCTTTTGAACGTTGAAATGGCCATGGCAGAGTGAAGATGGAGATATTATCGACTGTGTTGATATCTACAAACAACCTTCTTTCGATCACCCTGCGTTGAAGAATCACGTTATTCAGGTGAATTTTTTTTATCACCACTCAGTTTCGTTATTGTTTGTATTTATAGTGGTTGTGGACTTAACGAATGCTATTCAACATATAGATGAAACCCAATTTTGATTTCAAAGAAGAAAAACCAAGCAGGAAGAAAGAGTCATCGAAGCTGGTGGTGTCTCAAACATGGCAAAGAAGCGGAAGCTGTCCAGAAGGAACCATTCCGATTCAAAGAATTCGAAGGGAGGACTTACTGAGAGCGAATTCCATTGACGAATTTGGAAGAAAACCAAAAGAATGGTCTCCAAATCAATCAAAATAAAACAGAAAGATGGATATGCATTTCCCTCTATTGTTGCTGAATCCGTAAGCATATTCAAAGCTATACAATAATTTTTTTTTTCAATTGCTTGAGTTGGTAGCTTTTGTGAAACAGGCTGCAACTCTTGTTACATTAGGATCCAGATACATAGGAGCTGAAGGAGATATCAATGTTTGGAATCCATATGTTGAATCAGTTTATGACTTCACCACGGCTCAAATATGGGTTAAAGGTGGCCCTGTTGATGATTATGAAAGCCTGAAATCTGGATGGGCGGTTAGTTCATTGAACAATACAGACAAATCCACTAATTTTTTTTTCCGTTTAAAATCTGCGTTTAGTCAAAGTTCCTGTCAATAACATATATCAATTCATATATTTTGTCAGGTACAACCCAGTTCAGTATGGTGACAACGGGACCAGATTCTTTTTATACTGGACTGTAAGTTTTCATAAGGAAAAAAAGAGAGAAAATCTGTAATAAATTATATCATTAAAACTATTTGTCATTATTTGCAGACTGGTTCAACCTCGACAACTGGCTGTTTTGACCACAATTGCGATGGCTTCGTTCAAATAAGTCCTGAAATCGCTCTTGGATTAGCCATTGAGCCCTTGTCCAGTGAGTATGGTCAACAATACTATATAACTGTTGGCATATACAAGGTCACATTGGCCTCTTTTATAATTATATTTCGATTTAGTAAGTTGAAACCATCAATCATTAATATCAAAATCATGTGATGTTGATTTTCAGGATACCAAAACAAACAACTGCTGGTTAAAATATGGGGACGGTATAGTTATAGGGTATTGGACAGCAGCAACAACCCGACTGTTTTACTTGAGCGACATTTCTACCGTGGTCCAATGGGGTGGAATGTTTTGTAGCGATAACGTGAAGAAAACGCCGCATACGACCACCGCCATTGGAAGTGGACAGTTTGGTGAGGGTTTATTCGGGAAAGCATGTTACGTCAAAAATATTGCGATCGTGGATTATCATTCAGGGGCTCTCGAGTATCCGCGCTGGCTGGGCGGCTGGGCCGATGAAACTAAATGCTACACTGGTTCTTTTCACTTCCCAGATTTTTACTTTGGGAGACCTGGTCGGTGTCCTAATTGTAATTGTCCCCGGCTCCTCCAATATAATAAAGTCAAGTGAGGTGGGAACCTTTGCTTAATCCTTTTCTTTTTGTTATAATGACTGCTTCCTTGTAATAAGATCAAATCAAGAAAGGTTAAATTGTGTCATTTCTTGTTGCTAGAAGTTAGCCCATTTTGATTAATTTTCTTCTTCTGAATGCTTCTCGTAATCATAATAGTTTATCACTTGCTTCCAACAATTTAGAACTTACATTGTGGACATCTTAACTTATTAGGCAGTGTAATATTATTCTTTCTTGAGGATTATAAATTGAATTTATGAAGGAAATTAAGTGATCAATAAGTGTGAGATCATTTTTCCCTTTCAACACTGGCCCTTGGTTAAGAGTGTAACCAAATGCTTCACAAATCTAGACACATTCCACAGATGATGTAATGCTTTGATGATTTTGGAAGCTTGAAATCTGGATGGACGGTTAGTTCATTAAGCAACACTCATATCTGCAATCTTCTCTCTCTTTTTTTATTTTGGTTAAAAAAAATTCAATTTTTTTGTCAGGAAAACCCACAATTATTATGGCGTAAAAAGTAACAGATTCTTTGCATACTGGACTGTAAGTAAAGAAAATAACTTCAGTGACCGAAAATGTCTTATAATATACGATTTTAATCAATTTTTTTTGGATTTGCCAAAATGACCATCAAATTCACAACGCGAATTCCAATTTCGCAACCCAGTTTCCAATTTCACAACGCGAATATGTAAATCGCAACACAGAAGTCAAATTCGCAACGCGATAATCAAATTCGCAACACGATAGTCAAATTCGTAACGCGGAATTTCAAATTCGCAATGCGATAGTCAAATTCGCAACGTGGAATTTCAAATTCGCAATGTGATAGTCAAATTCGCAACGCGAAAGTCAAATTCGCAACGCGAAACACAATATTAATTTCGCAACATAAATGTAAACAGTATTATCGCAAATCATAACCTAAAACCCTAAATCACAACTCAGTCCCATCTCCATCTCTCACTCTCTATGGCGACATCCGTCCCCATCTCCGACGAAATCCGTCCCCATCTCCGGCGAAATCCGTCTATCTCCATCTCTCAGAGCAACCCTCACAACCATTCACGGTCAGAAATGGAAAATCAACCACCGATGGTTAGTTTTTTAATCTCTTATTTTTATTTTGAAATTTTTTTATTATTATTAGATTTTTCTTATATTGATGATAAATTTACTGGTAATTTCAATATATATTTTAACCATTTCACTGAGATTGCTTAGTAAATTCATTCGGTTGCTGCCAATACTGCTAAGTTGTTTAATCTTTAACCCTGTGAAGTTAGTATTTGTCTTTGTTTTGTCTTTTTGTTGAAGAAATACAATTCATTCAAGTTTCAATTTGCAGAAGAATAGTTTTTGAAACTTAAATTCGCAACACGAAAATGAAAATCGCAACGCGAAAATGAAAATCGCAACGCGATTTTAGTTTCGCGTTGCGATTTTCTCGTTGCGAATTTAAGTTTCAGAAACTACTCTTATTCTGCAAATTGAAACTTGAATGAATTGCATTACTTCAACAAAAAGACAAAACAAAGACAAATACTAACTTCACAGTGTTGCTAATTTAAGTTTCAAGAATAAACTACTACTCTTTATGTTGTCCTTGAACTTGCACTAAACCTATATGTTGTCCTTTTAAATGTTTATATAAGTGCTTACTTCTGGAATGTTATTTGATGCATTTTGTGAACTATGATGGAATAATGACATCATGTGAATACCATGTTAGTTTGAAACATATTTTGCTTTGTTTTCACTGTTTAATATCATGTCTTCTTATAGTGTATAATTTGTAGTTTTTGGTATATCTAACTTGGTATGTTTATTGTTTTTGTAGAATTTTTTTCGGCTGCATTGACCTTAAGGAATAAATTAAGCCTAGCCACTAAAATTGCATCGACACTTATACCTCTACAAAGAAAATTGTTTGAGGATACTTGCTTCGAGCAATGGTTGAAAGTAAAACATACGGGTGGAGATGCTATGTTGACACATTTGTTTCTTCAGACCATGACTAACGATCTACCCGAGAGGATACAACGTGGTGATGAAGAGATATGGTTTCATTTTCCTCCGGCACCGGCGTATACTTGTTTTGGGCAGGAGGAGTTTTTCTTAATCACTGGTCTACGCTTCGGACATGATGAAGTAACCTGGTACACTAGTCATATCTCCCGCACATCATGGTTATCTCGGGTTTTTCCTGAGCTGGCAAAGTCGAAGACGAGTTTACACGTCGACGACTTGAAGAGATTATTTGTTAAAGATGGTTTTACTCGGATGGATGACCTTGATGTTGTCCGAGTATGCCATTTATTACTTTTGCATGCCGACTTTTTAGGCAAAGAGGGCATGCAACCTATCTCTGAGGACCTAATATTATTGGTAGAGGACCTAAATGCATGGAACCTATTTTCGTGGGGTTCATATCTATGGAAAGCTACCTGGAAGAAGTTGTCGTTTGCCTTTGAGGACCGAAAAAGTTTACGGGGCGATGGTTCTAAATACACTTTGACAGACTTTACTTGGGCCTTTAAGGTAAGAATTTCTATATAATGTTTCCAAAATTATAATTATATATTTAACAATTACTAATGTTTGTGTATTATATTGTTTTGTAGATTTGGATATTTGAGGCTTTCCCCAACATGTGGACATATGTGATAAAAAGATCAAATGATATTCCTAGGGCTATTACCTGGAAGAGGATCCGCATGTTGGATTGGGAAGAGTTACTCCCATATACGACGATGAATGATGTAAGTTAACACACAAATAATACCATATATAAACAAGTTATTACTAGTACAAGTTTAACTTTGTTTGAGCTTTTATATTGTTAGGAGGCCAACTATCCATTACAGAGGCTGACACCCACAGAGGCTGAGCTTGCCACTGATTGGTGGCAAGCTAGTAAGCAGTTTTTTGATGAGATGGATGATGAGCACACCCCACTTCGAGAGCCATCACCTGATCGGGTCGATTCTACAGCTCGACACCCGGAGCCATCACCTGGTCGAGCCTATTCTCCACCTCTACCATCACCTATTCCATCACATCATCGAGCCTCTTCTCCACCATCACCTCATGATAGACGACCGGCAAAGAGGCCACGACATTTATCTCCCTGTTCTCCACCTCCACGGGATGAGTTAGGGGAGTTACATGATGAGGTCGGTGCTTTGCGTCATGAGGTCAGTACTTTACGTGAAGATAATGGTGCATGGCGTGATGAGGTTCAGTATTTACATGGTGAGGTGGATTTTTTACGCGATGACAATGGTGCGCTACGTGGTGAGGTATCTACTTTACGTGATGAGGTTGCCGCTCTACGCGAGATTGTTTCATCGTTGTAGAATGAGGTTCATACTCTACGCAATGAGGTAAATTTGTTTAATACTATACTAAAAATGTAAATAACCTTTTTTCGGTATTATTTATTTATTTATTTACTTACTGATTTATGTATTAATTTATTTTCAGCGGCCCGATAAGGTAGATGATTTACGTCGGTTTTTTTCTTGCACGATGGGGTTCACAGATCAGATGTCGTGCACGTGTCATTACGTCTCCGTTCACCCCACTAGTGGCAAGACTCCGTAAGAAGAAGCCCGATGCACCTATCATCATTCAAGAGGCGCCTCCTATTGTTCAAGAGGCTCTTCTCATCATCGAAGAAGCCCCTCCCACCGTTCAAGAGGCTCTTCTCATCATCGAAGAAGCCCCTCCCACCGTTCAAGAGGCCCTTATCATCGTTCAAGAGGTCCCGCCCGTCGTTCAAGAGCCCGATTCATATGGCGTCATATGTCGACATATTGATAAACCCCCTCCCGTGCCCGATATGATAGATACGAGTTG